AAAATGTAGAGTGCTTTGATCGGTTCGATTGCGTATATACTGGGGCGCCTGGTAGCGAAATGGTGAGTTAGCCAATTGAAAGCCGATCGCATGGACGCCGTTTGAGTTGAGCTGCCGCTGCTTACTTCTTCTTGGCGTGCGTGGCTTCCGGATGATGAAACTCCGGACGAGCCGTGTCATGTTCGTGGTCAGACATGGCGAGCCGTCTTTGACTGAGGGTTGAGAGAGAGAGAAAGACGGAGAATCGTTTGTTGGGAATCCCACGTTTCTGAAGCTCCAATTATTACGTAGATGTGGGCACCTCAACCGTACCTGGGCTCGGTCAGCCCGAAACGGGAACCGGTGAGGTGTTGCGCTAATGCATCATGGCCCCACTTAACGTCTTCTCACCTTGACTTTTTTTTTTTAACTTGGTCGGATCAATCTAAGGGTCCTTTGCGAAAAAGTTTTCCCTGCCTTTTTTCTTTTTTGGTGACAAAATTTGTTTGACGACCTTCTTTCTCTTTTCTTATCAGTATCTAGACTACTTCATTCTCCCCGAGAAGGATTTCGATTAACTTTACATTTACATCGTCGATACCAAACCTGTCTGCCATTTGTGGCAGAGCCATTGCCCGCCAGCGACAGACCCCTCCGAAACAACTTACATCCATCCATTGTCGACGATTGAAACACCGCACTACCACTCAGCAGCGATGTCTGGGTTCCAGATCCCCGGCCTAGGCTTCGCCAAGCCAAATGAGAAGCTACCGCCTCTACCAGCAGACCAAACCGTGAGCGCGCCATCAGCCGCTTCAGACAGCAAAGATATCGAGATCCAGGACGCTACACAAACCCCAACGACGACGCAGTCACAAACCACATCACACAACCCCGAGACAGACAATAACATTCAAAATGCCTCGTCAGACGCAATGGTCATCGACCAACCCGAGAGCCCCCCCTCCTTGACGGGCGCTCTAGAGGCCGCCCTGGGTGGTCTCGAGCCCGAGAACGCAGAGCAGGCTCTGGGCCAAATAGCCACGACATCAGAGCAACAACAAGCCGCCGAGGCCCAACAGACCGCTCAGGGTGAAAACCCAGAGTGGGAGGCAGACTCCTCACCCTACGAATCCTCTTCGGAATCTAGCAGCTCCGACTCATCGGACGAGGACGACTCAGACAACGAGGCCTACGAGCTCCTCGGCGTCGAGGAGACGGCGAGGCTCCTCATGGAAGCCGAGGGGGGTTCGGACGACGAGGGCGACAAGGGGAAATCATCAGGCGCCGGCCACATGCGAACGAAGAACGAGACGGCCGAGGAACCCATCCCGAAACCCAACGTCACCATCACTCCCGAAATGAAGATCGAGGAGCTGGGAGAGGTGGAGCACATCGTCGAGAATCTCATGCTCGTCAAGGCCTACACCCCCGGAGAGTATCAGGTCCTCGACACGGGCTCGGTGCTGTGCAACTCGGAGCGCGTGGTCATCGGCGCCGTCGCGGAGACCATCGGCAAGGTCCTGCAGCCCATGTACACCGTCCACTTCAACTCGCAGGATGAGATCAAGGAGCTGGGCCTGAAGGAGGGCACCAAGCTCTTCTACACCGCCGAGCACGCCACCTTTGTCTTCACCGAGCCTCTGAAGAACTTCAAGGGCTCGGACGCCAGCAACCTGCACGACGAGGAGGTGGGGGATGACGAGATGGAGTTCTCCGACGACGAGAAGGAGGCCGAGTACAAGCGCTCGCTCAAGCAGAAGAAGAGGGAGAAGTGGAAGAACAACAACAAGGACAAGGAGCCCCACCCTCTCCGGCAAGAGGTGTCCGCCGGCGGAGGGCTCAACTACGACGAGGACGACGACGGCCCCTACAAACCACTTACCCGACCCCCAGGCTATGGCAATGGACCGGTATCCACAGAGGTGTACGATCCCCATCATCGGCCAGGCTCACACCGCGGCCGGGGAAGAGATTCCAGAGGCAGGGGCAACCGTGGCCGAGGGTCTGGGCGAGGCGGCCGAGGAGGCTCCCACCCACCCCGAGATGGCTACTCGCTCCCTCCCCAGGGTGGAAATCAGAACAGCACTCCCCCTCCCCCACCTCAATGGAACCAAGGCGGCGCTGCCATGCCAGCGATGCCAAATTTCGGCTTCCAGGTCCCAGGCTGGCCCCAGGGCGGCCAGGCCTCCAATGCGGCAGCCCCGGCAGCCCCTCCGCCTCCGGCCCAAGGGGGTGCACCCCAGAATGGTGCATTCCTCAATCCCGCCTTCATTGCTGCCTTGATGAGCCAGATGCAAGCTCAGAACGGACAACAGCAGTGGGGCGGGCAACAACAACAACCACCACCACCTGGAGGCCAATAAATATTAATGATGAGTTATCAAGCAAGCTACTAGTCTTGTATACAGTGCCATTAACTGCGGCAAGAGCAGCCGATGGTTGACCCCGGGCGCTACGATGTATGATTCGAGTAAAGATGATATCGGGAGGGACATGGGATAGATACTGAAACTAGAATAATACCCGATTGTAATATGCGTATTCATCTATGGATAGATATAACAACAACACAAAAAACAGTCGTTCTCTAAAAGCAACGGCTAGCGGAGTTTAAGATGCCATAAATGATTACACAAAGCCCAAGAACCATACCATCAACGCCTGTAGAACCAAGGGTGGCGCCAAGCTCACCTCATCTACCCCGAAAAGCCTTCCTAGAGCTCGTTGAACTCGTCCTCAGACTTGGCACTGTAGAAATCGTAGTGGCCAAGCTCGTAGACGAGACCCAGGGTGAATCGTGCATGCTCAAGCATGTGGTCAAAGGACAGGTATTTGATGAGATCCTCGGTAGAGTGAATATGGGGGTCAGAGTTCTCAAAGGCGGACTCAATGACGAAGGCGGAAGGATATCCAGCCTTGGAGGCAGATGCGTGGTCGGAGCAGGCGTAGCCACACTTGGTCTCGACCCAAGGGATGCCGCAGTACTAGTCACATGTTAGCTACCGGCATTTACGGGGTTTAGTAGATTGGTTTTAAAACGAACCTCTTCGATAACAGTCTTGATGAAGGCAGTGAGACCACTGTCGACGTAGTCTGTGATGACGCCGACACTCTCGGGCTTGCCAGAGTCCAATGTCTTCTGGACGTAACCGGTCATGTCCTGCTGGAGCATGGCCTTGACGTCACGGCCCTCCTTCTCGTACTGCTGGAAGATGGCCTGGCTGCCCAACAGGCCGCCCTCCTCGGCACTGTACCAGTGGAACTCGATGGTGTTTGTAGCGTTGCCCGCAACGACGCCCTCGGATTCGAGAAGGGTGCGGAAGACCTCGAGAATGGTCACGGTACCGCTGCCGTCATCGTCAGCGCCAGGGGCGGCGAGGATGGAAGGGAGCCACAGGTTGATGGAGTCCTGGTGAGCCCCGATGACGACGGTGGTGTTGGTCTGACCGGGAATGGTGGCAATGACCGAGTGCTGCTGCCAGGTGTGGGGGAAGCTCTTGGCGTAGACCGTGCCGTCAGCGCCAGCCTCCTTGATGATGCTGTTGACCTTCTCCAGAACCCAGTCGGAGGACTGAAGACCGTAGTCGGACTTGTAGTATCGGGTGTGGAAGCTAGTAAGCTTCTCCAGGTTGGCCTTCAAGTTCTTCTTGTTCAGGTCCTTGGAGAGCTTGGTGACCTCTGCTTGGTGAACGGCCTTCTTGGGGAAGACGACCGGGGAGCTGGCGGCCACATGCTGGGTGCCGAGCTTCGGGGTCTCGGTGATGTCCATAAAGTTCTGGCCATTACGGCGCATCTCCCACTTGTCTTCCTCGGTGACCCATTTCGTCTTTCCGGGGGCCAGCTCGACGAGGAAGGTCTCCTCGCTGGGGTTGAGGACGATGTTATCGCCCTCGTTGGCCGAGAGATAGCGGGCCGAGATGGCGGGAACGCACGCGGCCAGAAGAGATGCCCGTGAGAACTTCATGATGCAAGACTGAGAAAAACAACAAAGGGATGATGCGGCGGTTACGGGTTGTTGATGGAAGAAGCACGCAGCAATGGACAAGATGTAGGAGGAAGGGTAGGTTCGGCACTGGCAGGCAGGCTGGAAGTAAGTACGTACTAGGTTCATTAGGCCGAGGCGGGCGCAGCGCAGCTCGTTATCGCGGGCCGTTATCGCGAGCTCTGGTTCGCCGCTAATGCGACCTGCTGAAACAGGTCGAAGACGTCACGAGACTCCGCAGCTTTCCCCAGCCACACCCCTGCCGATCTCGCAACTGCGCGTGAGCTCTGCTTGAAATGAATTCCTGGTGTCTATTGATCAGGACCACAGGTTGTTATGGCCATATCTGCTCCATTCAGCATCGCATTGGCTCTGGGAGTCAGAACCCAGGGGTATCTGATAGGCTCCCAATGGAGGTACACCAGCCACACATTTGAGTCAACAGCTAGGTGCACATAGCTGAGGCGATTTGTGGCGGGATCACGCATCTCCGACCCCACTTGAAATGCCCGTACACATTCAGCAATATTGGACTGACTTCGCCTCATAGCAATGGTCCTTTGGCAGAGAAACCCACAATCCCTTCGAGCTAGCGCCTAGACTATCCAACTGCATTCCCCATCGTGGGGGACCAGCGCTTCTGTCGATATTCCGTTATGCAAAGCAATAGTCAGCTATAGGTCCGCCCAAGAGTATATCCGCCAATGTGCTCTGTCATCAAGATAATCAAACAACGCTATCTATCACCCAACAGGCCAATCTGAGGGAATCCCTTGTTCCGCATCCCCGGAGTGTGGGTTCCACAAAAGTCGGGGTTCTCGAATAATAAGTCGACAGATAGCAATTGGTAGAATCTATCCAGGCGGTGATCATTTAATACACTCAGAGAGAATTGGATTCATCTAAGATTCCCTCCCTCATCCATCTACATCATCTATTAGATACCATCCCAATCTCACCATGTCTCCAATAGCCCCCAACACCTCAGTCCAAGATCTCCCAAATGAAGTCAGATCCCCCCGCCCACTAACTAAATCTATCTATACATCATTAACCCCGTCGCTAGATCCTCTCCCTCACCTTGACCGACTTCCTGGCAAAGGAGCTCATCCCCATCGCCTGCACCAGCCGCCGCTTCCACTCCATCGTCGCCGAGACCATCCGCCGCCGCCTCATCGAGGCCGCCACCCTCCCCGGCCACGAGCTCGTGTTTGAATGCTACCACCCTAGCGCCAGACTGACCACCCCATCCCTCGCGTGCCATTTCCTCGGGGTCAAGAATCTGCCCCCAGCCCAAAGCACTGATGAGCCCAGCCCGTCCTCCCTCAGTCTTCTTGACAGGCAGCAGTATGCATCCCTCCGCCCAACCATCACGGAAGAGGAGCGCCGCACCAGACGCCGCCGCCGCCCCTCAGCTGACGATGCCGTCGAGGAAGACGATTCAGTCACCGAGGACATCTACCTTGATGAAGATGAGCACTTCACCCAGCTGTGCACCAAGGTCCATGTCTCAAGACTATCGCCGCGGCAAGGGTACTTCCTCACCCACGTGAATTTATTCGACGGGGTCATCCGCCTGTGGAGGGACTCCCTCGCTGAGATGTCAAGTCCCCCCGCGGGGCCAGACGGGCAAAGCCAGAGGGGCACGTTGATATGGGCAGACACCAAGCGTACCGTCGGGGTCAGGCTCGAGGTGACCCCAGGTGGGATGGAGCGGATGCCAATCCTCTCTGCCCCTGATGACCTCCCTCCCATGTCTTATAAAATCCTCTACCTAGGTAAGTAGGAGAACTCGCTTCGCCAAGGTCCAGTACAGACCTCCGCTAACTGCTGTCGGTGGCAGAGCTCCTTGTCCCCGTAAGCGAGTTGCTTCTGGCAGTGGAGAAGTCCGCCATCCAGGAGGATTCACAAACTGGCAAGGCGATTGTGATTGCTTTCATGTGAATGAAGGGGCTGGTTAGCCTATCTAAACTCTCGATTTGTGACAGCAGATCTTTGATTGGAATTTTTTTGATTTGATGGTTATCAGTCCAACTGCCCATCCTCTTCTTCATCCTAATTCTGGGTGTCCGCTCTCCCATCTTGCTTTAGTTCACCCTCGCAGTGGTCTTTACACAACATCCTACAGATTGATGTTACGGCAGCGAACTGGTCCAGAGACCACGACGGAGAGAGCTATCCCCCCTCACATCTAAAGACTCGATGACATCTTTTCTGCCGTGTCGGTCATCCGACGCAGCTCAATATCACTCCCCAGCGTCATGGCATCGGCATCGCTGCTGTCTCTCTCCGTCCCATCCCGCAAGATACTCCTGCTCACTCCCGCCATGCCTTCCTCCTGGTCAGACACCGTGATGCCTCCGCCGCATCCACTCCCCTTCCTACCACCACCACCACCACCACCACCACCACTGGCGGTAACACTGACACTATCTCCTCGCGCTCTCGGGTCCCGCATCTCTACCCAACCCTTCTTGATCCCTCTGCTACTCGTGACAAAGAAGATGACGGCGTTCCAGAGCCCCTGCAGAGGCAGAACAGCCGCGGTTGCTACATGATACTCAAAGGGGGACTCACCAGCCAGCCAGCTATGGATCCGATTCATACTACTGGGGATCCAAGTAACCAGCACGCTCAACGCGAAGAGGAAGCTCGTCCGGAGATACGCCCGCTTGATCTCGTCCTCGATAACGAAGCTATTGATCACGCCCGACATCGACCAAGCCCAAGTGTTATTCTTGCGGCGGAGATGGGGCGGCGCCGCGTCTGGGCCCGTCACGGTGGAGAAGAACTGGCCCGGTGCCGCGTGGTGTCGCTCGTTGTTGCAGTCGCCGTCCCGATCCCGGTCGTAGTCTCGCATGCCAAAGGACACGGCGGCACAAGGGCCTGACGAGGCGGGGGAGTTGGTTCGCAGCTGATTCATGTGGACAGGCTTCGGCTCTGAAGGGTTCCCCGAGCTGGAGGGGGTCGATCGAATAATCTGGACTTCGGTGATGACGGTTCCGTAGAAGCCCTCATCGGGCAGGTCGGACAGCTGGTGCTTGTTGGTGCTGTGAGTAGCCTTTGCCACCCTGGCTGTCAGGAGATGCATGTAGTTGAATGTTTTACGGAAAGGGATGAATAATCTGGAACTCACGTCGTCGACTGCCGTTGGGGGTTCTCGGCTCCTGGAGGAGGAGAGATCGCGAAGGCGATTCCTCGCTTGGAAGACCTGAAAGCCAACTAGGAAGTACAGAATGAGCGAACCAAGAATGCATATCCAGATGAGCATGTAGTACGTGTAGATTCGAATGTCGTCCCAGGCCCGATCAACCCAACACCAGATCTATTCAGCTTGTCAGTACAGGCATGGTTGGGAGTGGGCATGTAGAGGGTGCTCTCACAGTTGCTTCGCCATAAACCAACCCCCGCCTAGGATTCCGTACGAGCAACAAAGCCAGGGCAATACAAAAGGGGCCTCCATAGCAAATTACACAGTAGAGCCACCACCACTTTCGGAAGGTTTCGGGTTTGGCGCGGAAGAAGAAGACGAGGAAGACATTGACGGCCATGGCGAGAGACCACCACGGATCAGACTGCATGAACCTGTGCCACGTTGTTCAGCGAGGAGGAGAGACTTGCAGCATTGCGCGTTCCTACTCACATTTCAAACATAAATGCCTGGGCCTGACAAAGCCCCGAGCTCCGCCCCATGGCCAAGCCTTCCATGGCAATGACGCTTGCAATACTGGCGCCAACATTGGAAACGCTCGCGAAGACGATGAATGTGTTCTGCACATTGCGCACACATGGGAACATGGCAAAGGCCACGAAGATGGCCATGGTGGCGACGAGACTGATGCAGCCACCAGTACGCTCGAGCACGGTCAAAGTCACCATCTGGTCCGGCGTCATATGCTCACTAGCTGGGATATTGGGATACTCGGAGGTGGGAATCTGAGGGAGGATCTTGGTGGGCGGGACGCTCATCGACGGCACGAGGGTGGGCATCTCGATGCCCGTGCTGAGGACGTCCATGGCTCACGAGCTAGAGGGAGGCGAGAGCTAGCAAAGGTGTGTATGTGCTTGCAAGGAATATATACGCGAGAAGCAACTCGAGTCAAATCACTGAGCGCGAGCTCTGTGATGCAGAGAAGACACAGAAACTAAGCACCGTGTCATGAGAAAAAGAATGTAGGTGCGTGAGTGGGTTCAATGTTGTTGCGAAGAGAAGAGACGAGGGTAGAAGTGTGGATGGAACAGGAGCTAGATATATGAGCGGGGAGGGGGCAGAGAGTCTTGTTCTTGTACTCAGTGCACGAACACGGCATGAATCAACTGATTCATGCTTAAAAACAATATGAAAAGAAAGAAAGAAGGCCAGGAACTCGTATGCTGGCTGAGTTGTCCGTGGTCACTGATGGGGATCGGGACCCCTCAGTTGAGACTCCCTGTCTCCCGCCAAGGAGACTCGACCTTGTGCCGACGAGTCTGGGCTCGGAGCGGGGTGGAAAGACAATCTAGCAAGGTCATGGCTATGGGCCAATACATGCATAGACATGTTGCAGACAGTCGAATGAAGGCAATCGTTTGGTCGAGGAGAGGCGAGCTGCCGAGTGTCTGTACCACCTCATATGCAGGTAGCCGACGCTAGAAGCCCGATCCTATCAGGAGCCTGGGATGTCGACTCTGCAGCTAGAATATGCAGTCAGACGATGCGCGCAACGAAAATTGTTTATTGCTTGGGCATATGCGCGCATCTGCATCTGTTGTGGCTGGTCCGGCGGCGATGGACTTGGGAACAGACCTCCGTAGTTGCATCGCGGCTGGCTGCTGCTCTGGGCAGTGATGCTGCTGGTTCCCTGAAATTTCAGGAAGTCGGTGAGGTGCCTTCCAGCTCCTTCCTTGTCTGCTGCCTTATCCGCCCGTCTGTTCCTGCTCTGTCGGTGCACACACACGAAACAAACATCAATGTCACACAGCCACAACACACGAAGTCTCTGCCCACAGCTTCATTTTTTTGCCCGCTTGTTTCTTACAATTCCAATGACAAAGACAAAACATATCTGTATGCTTACATTTCGCAGCTCCCGCCTTGGACACGGCAGCGGACAAACAAAGTGCTTCCTCTCGAATCCAGCTGGGTTGACAACAAAGAAAAAACTAGGTACGTACCTATCTATGCGTTTTCACCCTCAGTTTCACAAGCAAATTTCCACTCGGTACATGACGCACCCGGATAGGCAGTTTGCCCAGTGCACATAGGTATGCAGGGAGCTTGGACCCAACGCAGTCCGCCAGCCGAACGCTTGTGCTTGTATAGCGGATGCTGCAGCTGAAGCATTGCCCAAGACTTTTGATGACGCCCAATCACGAGTTAATGCACTTCTACTATTATGTGTAGTATTAATGCTCTCCGGGCTGCACAACAGAAATCTCATCACGCAGCCAGCTACGGTTTCTCTATGATACGAAATCAAATGCAGATCAATAGGCGCGGTGATGTCTTTCAAACCTAGCCTAACACAAATATCGGTCTGCTTTTGCTTCCACGATCCATCACATAAGAGAAAGCTTCAAGACCAAGCTCATAGCCGGCAGGTAGGAACTAGATCCGGGGATCTGGCTCTCTGATTGTCGCAGCCAGAGGCCATATATCGGCATCCAGGATGCTCTTTGAAAGCCGAGGGCTTACAAAAATAAGAAAAGGAAAAAGGAAAACGCAAAAAGGAAAAAAATAATGCTTCTGCTCGGAGTCGAACCGAGGACCTCTCCGCGGCTCCCGTAACGTACCCCTTCTCTGTCCTACCATGTACCCATGCTCTATCCATACCTCTTGAGATATGGAAAGACTCGTGGGTAGCTAGTCACTCTGCAGAGTGAGTACATCACGGGAAGGCAGCATCGGAGCGCGCTGACCACTGCGCCACAGGGGCTATTGTTGAATGACATTCCCAGGGAAGTTATATATAAGGCATCATCCTCGTCGCGTATGAACAGTGATACCGCCAGGTCTGTCCAACTTGTCCTGTCTCGCCCTCTGGTCGTACAACAGTCGTACAAGAGATTCTCAGGCTTGACATCACGGTAGTAGACACTATCCCAAGCCAAGAAGCCCAACACTTGCAACATTTGACGCGAAACTCGATCATTTACTCTTTGCTGCGTACAGACACCCGATCCTCTTCGGGGCGTCTTATTCCGGCGATCTTGAGCATTGATAGGCGAAGCAGCACCATGGATGCGTGCTACGTTGATGTACAATACACCACTCAATTAGTCCATTCGATCCCTTGGCGTCAAGGAGCTAAAGGATTGACATTATGATCTATTCATCTAGATTCAGATTCAATTGTCCTTCAAATCAACAACCAGATGGGGCTCTCTATTGGTCGGCTATGAAGAATAAAGTGCCTCCATCTCCCCACAACGAACAGGGGCAAGGGGTGGCGATTACGGTTTTAGGCACATGTTGGAGCCGCTATTGGCTGGCAACCGCCCCGGCTACAAGGTTTTATTACCAACTAC